AAAGTCTAAAGGATAATTATATTCTAGGAATATATTTGCCAGCCGTTCTAACTCTTTAGTCAAATGGTTGCTATCCGCAACAATTCATCAGCTTGAAAGCAAATTTTATTTATATTCCAGCGAAGTAAACAAACTCAATATATGAAGACCAAGATGTTGTGGCCTCTGTTATGGTCGCAGTCGCCTTTCCATTTATAGAAGTGGGCAGAAGTGGGAATCATGACAACTACTATGACAGACGACTTCGGACTAGGCGCATTCTGCTAAGTCGCCCTGACAACAAGACCAAGTTGCAACAACGAGGTCAGCCCATTTCTATACATCTAAAGGAGACTGCGACCATACCAGAGGCGACAACATCTTGGAATTTATATCTTCAGGAGATCTTTTGGTTGGTTCTCTTAACTCAGTGTTGACCTGAGACTGATGAAGGAAATTTTTCCAGTTCTGGTGACGTACGTCACTCGGTAAACGAAATATTAATCCGATTTCACCCGAAGCAAGGGAGGATGTCTCGTGGAGTGCACCAACCGGAATGCTTTTTTGCAGCCAAACTGCTGCAGAACATATGAAAGGAGTCGTCGTTTTCTGGTGAAATCTACCCTCACACGAAATTAAAGTTTCCCCAACAAGACCGACGTTAGCTTCAGTCATGCAAACGCAACAGTCGCCTTTGTCAGTCTCTTTCGCAGTTGTTATGCCCCCTCCCATTGGCCAGCTCGACTTGTTCCATCTTCGTTTTGCCCCCATCCCACCCAATCAGCCTCCTCGGCTCGGTCCGTCCGGTCGCCCACTCAGCCGGTGCCACAGTCTCTCTTCTGGCCTCGAAAGAGTTCGTGTCAACACATGCAAATGTCCTCTCAAACGTTTCAGTCCCGCAGTCGAGTAGCTCCTCGGCGCCCCTCAGGACACGGGGACGGAGTATGTCGATCTATTCACACCTTCTGAACATGTGCACACGCACACTGTACCCGATGCCTTGTGGGCCAGCGCTGTGGACGTCTGTGCGGTCTGGGTGAAGTGGATTATCTGTACCAGCCAAATGCGTTGCTCACAGCTCCACGACCCTCAGTCGAATGCTGCTGAAGCGTGAAGTCTCCTACCCACCTCTGTCCCATGACAACCGAGCCCCCTCTCCTCCTAGACCCCCTCCTGCGCTGTCTGTACCTTTGACCGGACTTGTCGTTCATCTGACTACGGGTCAACCGGGGCTGTCATGTGTTCGTTGCATGGGCCAGCCTCTCGGCCGGACGGAGCGACTCGCTTTTCCATTTCGCAGACAAGGTTGATTGGAAGGAATTCGTCGAATGGTAACTACGGAAAGTGAAGGATGATTGCCACGGGGGGAAGGGAGGACCGTTGTCCCGCGACTCCGGTCGACCGTGAAAGACATCATCAGAACGAGAATTCGTCCTTTATTCAATTGCACAAGAATAGGTCAATCCAAGAGAAAAGATGGCCGGTTACAACATCAGTTCTCATTTGTTATATACCTTTCTGGGCGATCATAATGAAGCACCGCATGATTTGTCGTTTTGACAAAAACGTTTTTCCAAGAAAAAGCGAGTTTCGACGAATCTCCCAAGAAAGTGTGGTTGTAGAGCCTTTCATTTCGTATGAGAACGCATGATGCGAAGATTCGTTGAATGCCTTGCTCGGCAGCAGTTTGGCTTTGGCCTTTTCCACATTTTTCAAAAGGAAGAATGACAAATATAATATGAAAAATGAAGCATGTAGCGATTTGTGATTACATAAAAAGAAAATTTGAGCTAATCCACAGATGAAAAAGTGGTAGTAGCAATTCTTAGATTTGAGGAGATATTGGAATTCATGCATCAAAAATGGAGAATTTTGAAGACGAGGGAGGCGTCAACTTCATTTGGTTTGAAAGCCAACTATGAACATAAAAGTATGGAAATGATAGAATCGTGAGAATGTAGAAGTCATATTTTTGCCAGTGAACACACCTTTATTACACCCCATTCATCAAGGAACACTCACAACATTTAAGGCATACTACATGTGCAGAACTTTTTCACATGTTATTACTAAAATAACAGGCGATGACGCATTGCATTTGGACTTTGATAATTATTGGTCAGTCTGAATTATAAAATTATATTAAAAAAAACAGACTCAAAACATCCCAACTAGAGGCTGGTGTATTGCTATTTGTATTTTGTTACACAAGCCCAAAATAGGCACCACAATTTGAGAAGATAGCAACAAAATATGAACAGGCAAGCTGTGAATAGGATTCTGGAAGTGAACTTGTGGATGAGATAAAAGCTCTACCGCGTCTCGAGGCGAAAATCAATAGGAAAGTTGGAACCGGAGAGTGTGGGATATGTGAATTGGAGCGAACGTTAGTGGGCGCTGGGAGATTAGGGCAGCTAAGGGTTGTGGTAATCGAGATTGTGTGGAAATTTTGACTGAGAAAAAGAGCTTTTGATTTGCCGCGAAACCTGACAAGGGCCAATGAAGAAGTTAATCTAAAGCAAGCAAGGCTTCGAAAGGAGCAAACTACCAAAGTTTTGTTTGTGCCGATTAGAGTAGATGCCGGTAAATAAATGCGTTGAAAAGGATTTAAAGTGAAAGAGAGTAAGAATTGCATGAGAAAAAGCCTAAATTTTAGATAATGGGAAAAGATTTCGCATACAAATGAGGAAAGGTCGCTGGGGAAAGACGTGATATGCAAATAGTAAGGCTAAACGTGTGATGGATGCAGTGAAAGAAGAACATTATAATGAATATAAACATGAAATATTAATATAAATGCTGTCCATTTAAATCGCAGAATATGTAAGGTTAAGTAAAAAGAATTATGGCTGAGAATATAAATCGATTAAAGTCTCAGTACATGAAAGAAAATAAGGATTATGAGTAATGAAAATGGATAAATTTATCGGGTAAAAGGCAAATAATGAAATTGGAAAAGGTACAAAAAG